GCTATCTCCTTGATGGAAGCGCGCGTGAAGTCTCTTCGAGTCTGTCGGAGCATGTGAAGATCAGCCACGCTTGTCTAGAAGATTGTGCGCACTCTTCCGATACCATGCCAGCACCATTGCACACGCTTCAATTAGAGCAGGCTGGGGGCCGCGATCCCGTGGTGTTTTGCCTTGACAATCGACGGTCGTCCGCGCCATGGCACTACGGCGAACATACCTCCAACCGTAGCCAGATGCAGCAGTCCTCAGCTCCGAAATCTGGTCATGGCCTTTCTAGCTCTCAACCTCACATACAAGTCTCGTCTCCATCACCAACACCGTCTCCTTGGCAATCTTCATTTGGGGCACTGACCCACGCCACGATCAACGTACCGAGTCTCAGGCTTGACACCGCGATGCCAGCTCGTTCAAGCTCGGAGCCGCTGAGCGGCGCATCAGCGTCAGGTGTGTCCAAGACAATGGCTTTCTTCAATTTTGATGGCGCCAGCTCTGAAGCTGAAGAGGGGCTATTTGTGGAGACGGATCGTCGCCGATCGTCTGTCCCTCTCGAATCACCCTCAAACCTGCCCGCCAACGCAAGCGTCCACGGGACGGCAGCTACGGAGGTTGAAGAAGCGCCCCCTGCAGGCCAAGCAACTCTACCCGATCAAAGGTCTGGCTCGATGACCTCACAGCCCTCAGAGATGGATCGCGACAAAAAAGCGTCCTCGCACAGAGCGCCATACGCCCCTACCTTCGTCGATCTAAGGACGGCGACCGAACAGCGCAAACGCAAGCTTGAAGATACTGCCATTGAAGACTTCAACACCAATGCAGCCATGGGCACAGAGCACACGCCTTGGTTCACCTCTGAGATCACGAGCGCTATGACCGGCTCGTATCGCAAAATCGCAGAGACTGGCTCGAGCGAAGCTCCAAAGGCGCCAGCCAGCCGTGCGAGAGGTGTGAGCGATCCGGAAAGCAATTGGTTCGACGCACGGGTACCTGGCCAGTCGGACTCAGAGGCTCCGAGTCACGGTGCGGAGGCCGCCGACCTGACGTCCTCGGTCACTTTGGCCCAAGATGACAGCCTCCGTAAGTCTTTGCTAGACGGGTATTCGGATCGACGTTCTGACTCCAACACCTGCCGTCTTACCTTCAAAGTCGCTGAAGCTGCTCGACGACCGTCGCGCGAGCGCGAAGCGCGTGCTTCACATTCTTCAAATCTTGCTACTGAAGTCAACGGAAACGCGCCAAGCACGCTTGAAACGCTTGCGTCGAATTGGTGGCAGCAAGGCGCTGCTCAGACCCCTTGGCTCTCTGGAATCTCTCCTTCAAATCCTGCGTTGCGGCGAGCCACAGTCATAGGGAACTTGCGGAGCACGAATGAACCGTACGAACATAGCGAGCTGATACGAGATCCTCCATCAAGCGAGGCTGCAGGGCAATATTCTTTCCAGCCCCAGCCTCACGACGGGTGGTATCAAGAAGACCTTGAGACAGTCCATCCGACCTCGTCAGGTCTAGGCGAGTCATCTAGCTTTGAAGGAAGGAGGCGCTCGAGGCCCACGGCTATTGCGACTGCTGCTCTGGCTTCCACTGCCACTACACAGCCTCATGCGGAGTCGACTGGCTTGACGAGCAACCCTATCGCGCCGCTCCCAGCCAGAAGAACCATCCCTGCTGGCGGATCAGCCAATTTGTCAGGCTCAGCAGATTACGGAGCACATTTCGGGGCTTTCTTGAGGTCTTGCGAGCAAAACGTGGGTCCGCCCCAACTAGCTTTGGAGCACTATGCACCCAGCAGCCCTGCGACAGCATCATTCTTCGCTGGCGCAGCGACCATGGCGTCAAGCATGCCAAACGCGGCCCCCGCTGCTTTGCCATCAGCTTCGACCGGGCGCTCTACTCCAGCACTCGTAGCCGGGTCCTCGCGCAGCGGTGGTGTGTCCACTCCCTTGAGCTGGGATGAGAGACCGGACGAGTTCGACATTCAAAGGCAAGCCCGCATTCGTGCCTCGACTCATGCCGGAAGTTACGGCTACAACGTGATGTCAGGCGCGGCGGATCCTGGCTTCTGGGAGCCTCTGGACCGAGACGCCTTCACGGTCAATCAAGCTTTAAGCTATGACACACCGCAAAGATCTTTGCGCGTAGAGAGCATGCCTGGTACGCAAAACCCTTTCCGTTCAGCCGCCTATGCTCAGCAGGCTCGCAGTGGGGCGTACGCTTCACCTGCTGCGATTCAGGCTCGCCAGGCGCAGACGTACGGTCAAGCAGACGCCGGATCTTCTCATCAGGCCGCTGGAGCCTCTCGTCGTCCTCTTGCTGGTCTGCAACGAGCAGACACATACACATCACTGCGTGACTCATCAACGGCGAGTCAAAGCCACTCCATGCCTCACAGCTCGAGTTCGCCAGCACTACTCTCAAATACTAATACCCGCATGGAAACGCCACCCCCTTCTTTTGCGCCCTCCTTCGAAACTGAAGACATTGTCCTCCGCGCCCTTCCGAATTCGCTGGCAGGCGATGTCCTTTATCCTTCCCGTCAAAGTCTGCCAAACACTGCACTACAGCCACCTAATTCAGACTTTGACGTTGCTGCTGACCAGCAAGAAGAGGCTCTTCCTCGCAACCAGTGCGACAAACTTCGATTCAGAGGCGACTTGTACACCCCAGCTTGGGTCCGCGGGACAGGCAACTCCAGAGAAGCATGGTGTGACAAGTGTGAAGAGGGAGGATGGATGCAGCTCAAGAACAGCCAGTACTGGTATCACGTGCGAGGAACGCATGGCATTAGCCCCACCTCTGGTCTCATCTTCCTGCCGCCACTGAAGCTCAAGTGCTACGCTGACGCTGTCGGCACTACAGAAGGACTGTGTCATCACTGTCACAAGTGGATTCAAATATGTACGGCCAAGCGCAAGCGTGACTTCAGCGGCTGGTTCAAGCACAGCGCCAAGTGTCACCCCTCAACGTCCGGCGTC